AATAAACAATTAAATTTTAATTAATTAAGTAAAAACGATTTAAATACAACAAACAAAATATTATTATTATTATTATTTGTTTACGATCTTGACGTCGATACGCGAATCATCATTATTATCATTATCATTTTGATTATTAAATACGTTAATAACGAAAATATTAAATTTACTATTATTATTATTATTATTATTAATATTTTGTTTACCGTAAATGGAATCGTAAGTAGGCGGTGCGAATAATTCGTAAGGCGGTGGTAAAATTTCCGATTTATTATTAATAAATTTTCCGCCATATTTTTTCCGACCGTATATTTCGGAAAAACTTATAAGTAGGAAAAATATTATCATTCCTCCCAAACAAGATAAATACCATTGAATGGATATTTGATCCATGGAATGATCTCTTTTATATCTTTCGTAAGTACCTGAAAGAAAATTCGATTTTTATTAAATAATTGAACCACTCGGGGGGAGGGGGAGCGGATACGTACCGTTGACGTCATTTTCATAATTTATGTATTCGGTATCGTTATCGTATTGAAAATTACCCATTCGCGGTAATAATTCGATCGAATCGATATTATCATCATCATTGAATTTTTCCGTCGATGATATTAAACCTGAAATTATTATTATTATTATCATTATATTTAACCTATATATTTGTGTAAAGGATTAATAATGATAATTTTTTTGCAAATAATATCGTATCGATCGATCGATTATCGATTGTCTGTTAAGGAAAGGGTTATGAGAACCTTTGTAAACGATAATAATACCGAAAAAGTTATTAAATCCTAAAAAATTTTTGTATAACGAAGGATTTTCGTGTAAGAAGAAAAAAAACAAATATGGCGGCGTATAAAGAAATCAGTTACGAGGGTGATTAATAAATTTTCTTTTTTTTTTTTTTAATTGATAAATTGTGTGTTTGTGTAAATACAATTAAAATTTCAATTGAACGATTTGAAATATTTATTCGTAATGTGATATATATATCGATGATTTAAATTTCAATTTATTTTACGTTTCCTTTGTCCAAGAAGAAAAATTTTCATTGAACAGAGACGCCATTTTTGTCAATACATATTAACATAAATTATGAAAGAGAATTTTTTTTTTTTTTTTTTGTTTACGAAATGTAAACGATGCATTTTGAAATTTTTAACAAATACACGTGCGTTAAAAAAAACTACTTTATTATTATTATTATTATTATTGTTTAAAACGTGAGCAAAATTTTATCATATTTTTATCGAAAAAAAAAAAAAATTATGTAATTTTTTTATTTTTAGGTTTTTCTTCCGCGCTCATTTTTTATTATTTTTCCATACGTTTTCATCGATTTAAATTTATTTTAATTTTTTTTTATAAATAACATAAGATGAGGGAATTTTTAAAAAAATTTATTATTATTATTATTTTAAATAAATAAATAATGACAAGTCCAAAAATTATTATATAAATCTTTTCTTTTTATGCATTCGAACAGGTATTTATATGACTTATGCGTGTTATCATAACGTTTCGTCGTTACATTTAACGTAATTTTTATAATTATGTAATAAATACGAACAAAGAATAATTATTTATACGTAAACTAAAATAAATAACAATAATAATAATAATAATAATAATACGTAATATAGAAGTACGAGAAATAAATTTGAAGGATAATTTTACCTTACGTGAAAATTTTTTTTTTTTTTTTTTAAACAATACTTTACGTTATTAACGTTTTTTTTTTTTTTTTTTTATTAAAATTTTCAAAACTGGTTCATTAAATTAATTAATATAATTAACCATTTGGTGTTACAATACGAATTTTTCATAAATTTAAAAAAAAAAAAAAAAAAAAAAAAAAAAAACGATTTTCACGAGGAAAAACGATTTATAAATAAAACAAAAAAATTCAATTAATTAACGTTGAAATAAAACGAAAAATTATTTTTATTACACCCCGAAAAATATTAAATAAAAATCACAAAAGTGCGTGTGTGTGCGTGCGTGCGTGTGTTATCAATAAATAAAATTAAAAACTTACTAATGTAATTGTTAAATAAATTTGAATTATTATTATTATTATTCATTGGATATCCCATCGCGGTACAAACCGATGAAATGCTCATTATTAATTGTAAAAATGACATTTTATTAAATTTATATAAAATGGAGAAAAAGATAACGATGAAAATATAATAATAATAATAATTGTATACACATTGATATTTTTTTTTGTTTAATACAATTTTATTACATTATTATTAAATAATTTGTTCTTTTTCAATGTATAATTATTTAATAATTTATTTTTATAATTTTAACTTTATTATTAGTTATATATATGTGATTTGAAATTTTTATTTAAATTTTAGTTCTTTAGTGTGTAAACATAAGTAGTAATTTTCCTTTTTTCTAAACAATTTATTGAAAATCACTTTTTTTTTTTTTTTTTGTTAACGTAAAAGTCACTTAAAAATTGTTTTTTTTTTTTTTTAAATTTACAATAACATTTGTGATAATAATGGTTTAAAAAAAAAAAAAAAAAAAATGAAGTAATTAAACAAATTTTTTCTTTGTTGTTAACTGTAACGCGGTTTCTTATCAATTCTACCTTCAACGTCTATTGCAGTTCATAAAGATTTTTTTTTTTTAGCAATGATATGAGTATTTGTTTGTTTGTTTTTCTTTTTTTTTTTGGCAAAAATTTTTAATTGAGTATTTTAGTTTTGTAAGTTAATTAAAAACTTAAAAATTGTTAAGTTAATCAAATAGTTGGCAGTGGTATTCATTTGTATTTGGAATAATTATTTTTCAGAATGCATTTTATTGGCATAATTCAAAAGAGTCATGGCAAATTTCAGGTTTATACCTTTAAAATAAATAAAGTAAATACAAAAATATAAAATAGATCATGTTAAATGTATTTATATTTATAAACACGTGTTTAAAGCAGTCGTATTTAAAATGATATTATTATTATAGATTTATTTAATTATTTTTGAGAATGAGAAACCATTTTAAAATAAAAATTTAAAAAAAAAAAATAAATAAATTTCATATTTTATTTATACATTGGTAGAAGAATTCAGCAATAAAATAAAGTAACATGCATACAGCGCTTTTAGCAATTGTCAGGGCCTTATTTTTTCAACTTTATTAGTTGGCAGCACTTTATGAGCTGGTGAAGCCGGAAGTATCAATAAAAAATGCCATGTTCTCTTGAAAATTGATCGGCCTTGAGAACACACCAAGAAATGTTTGCGAGAAAGGTAGTGTAATTATTTGTTTCCATATTTTTATTTTTATAAATATTAAGTATTTCAATTAAATTTTTTATATTTAATAGTTTTATTGTTAGATGATTATTTTGTTTTCGGATATTTATGAATTAAAATTACTTAAAGTGGCGAACGATCTGGTGTTAAAATGGCGTCCTCGCTTTTTCTGAAAAAAAATTGTTTTTTTTTTCTTACTTAGTCTCACGGTTTTCGAGTAGCCAATGTTTATATGATTTTGGGTTTTAAATTTTATTTTTAATTTAAAAAGTTCATTATGACGAAATTTTTATTATTACTAGTAATTATAATTCTGACAGATGTGTTAGTAAATTCTAATTATTTATTCATTTTTCATTTTTTAAAAATAACGCTTAATAAATTTTTAATTTGATTAATTATAGAGAGTTAAGATTTTGAAAAAATTTTTAATATTTCGGATATCAGAGTTTAATTTAATGTACTATTTGAATACTTCTTTGTGTTCGCCACCTACCGCTGCTGATTTGATTTATTTATATTTAGACTTGATGCCAAATGCTACTTTGAATTAATTACAATTTTTATTAATGTTTTGTAAGAAAAACTGTTTTATATTTTTTTTTAACTCTGAATTTAATTTTTTTATCGATTTATATATTTTATTTTCGCATAATATATATTTGAAGTATTTTTTTAATTTTAATTTAGTTTTTATCAAAATGTTTTTCGATTTTAACGAAGATGACTATAAACTCGAATTTTTTTCTTTTTTAATTTTGCAAAAAAAAAAAAAAATAATAATTCTTTAGTTTTAATATTTTTATGAATATGAAATTGTAAAAATATTTTTTAATTAAGGAGTATGTGAAACGAAATGAAAAGGCGCGTTATATCTGTGTAAATGCAATACTGTTGGCTTTTAACGTTTTGATGTAAGGCAACATACATAAGCTTGTGTGGTCAGTAAATTTTTTTTTTTTTATAGGATATTAAAAGATGAGTGACCCTACTTCTGGTTCAGGGTCACAGGTAGGCCTACCCTCACAACAACTAAATGTAGCAACAAGTTCTGCTGTTCATTTTCAGCATGTCTTGTCCACTGGAAATCAAAATTTAAATTTATTATCGACAAACGGTCAACAGTTTGTTATTACTTCTCCAGTGAATGTTTCAAATCTTAATCAGGCAAGACTTTTTTTTTTTTTTTTTTTTTTTTCTCTTCATAAAAATTTTTTTTACGACTTCAAATTTTGTTTCTCTGCTCATCCACTTTTTTGGTATGAATTACTTTTGAAGTCAGCAATGCAGAGATAAAAAAATTTTTTTTTACAGAAGTATTCAAGTTTTACTGTAGTCGAACATTAAAAAACATGCTTCTGTAAAAACAAAATATTTATTTAATAGTTGATTTTCCTTAAAAATTTTTACCGTTTTAACAAAATTCATTGAAAAATTATTGCTCATTCAGGCTGTGAAGTATCAGGTTTCTGTTAGCACTAATAAGCTTTTTAAGTGTAATTTTATTTTTTAATATTGACTGATGTTGCATTTTTTAAAAAAATGCTAATGTAATCTAATATAAAGCAAACTCCTGATCTTTTTTTTTTTTTTTTTTTTTTTTTTTTTTTTTTGCTTCTATATAAAAATTTTTTTTTCTGCATAGGTAATACCGACTACTACAAGTTCATCAAATGTTCAACAATCTGGTGTTGCGCGGATTGTTAACATTACACCAACCCAAAGGGTTGTTAGTAGGTCTTTACAAATCTCCAACTCCAATAATGATGGGAGAGTTTCAATTGTTGCTATCAGTCCTACTTCTGCAGGCAGTCAGGTTAGGGCGGCCGCGCATCCCACACTGGTCACATCCTTGGCTTCACCTATTAAGCAGTCTCAACGAGTCAACAGCACTGCTGGTTCTCCTTCATTAAATTTAATGCCGTCTAATCAAGCAAACCATTTAGCTCAGAACGTAAAAAGTCGTAAAAGACCGAAATTATACGAGAATTTAGATAATAATTTTTTTAATGATGGAAACGGAGGTGCAAAAAGACGAATATTAGAATATAATTCAGTGAAATTAAATCAGTGTTTGACTAAATATGCTGAGTGTGTGGCAGAGTTATTTTTTCTTGAAGCTGATGGAAACATTATTGACTTTCCTACGTGGAAAAGCAAGAGGCAGAGTACTCAACAGTTTCAAAATTTTTTGCAGTCTAATAAATTGGATTTAGATGATGAAGAAGAAGATTTATCAGCAGCCTTATCTCTTCCTGAGTACGAGAGTGAAGTTAAACAAACTTCATCTGCTGTGGCACCGTCACAAACATCTACCTCTTCTCATATACAGGTGCTACAACAGCAACCTCAGGGTACTTATACATATTATTCAGAAAAATTTAAGAATTTTATTAGAATAATTTTAAAAATATTTGTTAATTTTGTTTGGATTATGACAACGTAAAATAATTTTGAATATGATTTTAAGGCGGAAGTGACAATTCTGCTTCTAATCGTATTTCAAGTAATGAAAAGCGATCGCCCACAAAGCAGTTAAATAAGTTAATAGTTAATCCTTTGGCTCGTCAGCACACTCGACAACATTCCATTTCTGCTGTGTATGAAACTTCATTAGGAAGTCAAGAACAAATAGTTGAAAAAGCCAAACAGGTATGTACTTTACTTTGATTTTTTTTTTTTTTTTTTTTAATTTTAAATAATTATTGTCTATATCTCTAAAATAATATTGATTATAATTTGCAGGAGGCGTATGTTGTTCAAAGAGTGTCAGAATTACAGAAAGAAGGTCTTTGGTCAGAAAAGAGACTTCCAAAAGTACAAGAACCTCCTAGAAATAAAGCTCATTGGGATTATTTATTAGAAGAAATGGTATGGCTTGCCGCAGATTTTGCTCAAGAAAGAAAATGGAAGAAGGCAAATGCAAAAAAGGTAAATTTTTAAAATTTAAATATTCTCAATTTTTTTTACGCTTTTAAATTTCAAAAATTTATTTAAATTGTTTAGTGCGCCAAAATGGTTCAAAAATATTTTCAAGACAAAGCCATAATGCAAAAAAAAGAAGAAAAATCTCAAGAATTAAAACTACGAAAATTGGCTAATTTTATGGCAAAAGAAGTAAAAAATTTTTGGGCCAATGTAAATAAATTGGTAGAATATAAACAAACCACAAGATTAGAAGAAAAGAGAAAAAAAGCTTTAGATCAGCACCTGAGTTTTATTGTTGACCAAACCGAAAAATATTCTTCGTGGTTGGCAGAAAGTATGAACAAAGGAGGTGTAGATACAAGTAATAAAACCTCGACAAACTGTTCTAGAGTTACATCACCAATTCACAAATCGTCAGGATCTGATGGTAATTATACACTTAAAATTTAATTATTTAAAATTCATAAATAAAATTTTAGGTGGTACTTATTAAAGTTTTTTTTTTTTTTTTTTTTTGTGATTGTAGATGATTTTGAGCCAAATACTTGTTCCGAAGATGATGAGGAAACAATAGACAAAGAAGAAGGAGAGGCTAGTCAGCCTAATAACGCAGACGAAATTGAAAGACTGAAACAAGAATCAGAGCTTCCTTTGGAAGACCTATTAAAAGATCTTCCTGAAGATTATTGGAATAATCGCGACAGTATTGATCCTGGAGGGACGAGTAACAATGAGGTTAATCATTTGTAATTTTTAAATTAGGCTGTTAATTAATTTTTTTTTTTTTTTGAAACTTGGTTTCAAATTATTTATTTTCTTTGTAATTTTAGGAAACTCAATCAAATAAAAGCGAGGATTTTATTATGGATACCGATAAAGAAACTACCGACGATGAAGAAACATTGGAAGAACAAGAAAGAGTTGAAGGGAAATTGGATCATTCGCAAGAGTTGGCAGAGTTGGAGGTAATTTTTCACATTTTAAATTTGTTTTTAACTAAATCAAAGGATGCATATTTATGTTTTAAATGATGACTGCTATACCATTTACAGAGAGCAATGTAATATCCATTCAAACATTGCTCGTTACTGTTGACTTGAGGCATTTGTCTGACGTTTTTAAAATTTTATTTAGTAGTAAATTAAATGTTTTCACGTAATAAATTTTAAAAAAAAATTTTTTATTTTTTAACAGGCAGATAATAATATGGATTTAGAAGAACTTCTTGCAAAGTACAGTGGCTCTGCGGCTCCTTCGTCTACAGATCAATCTTTAGTTGAACAGGGTAAAAAAAAAAAATTTTTTTTTTTTTTTTTTTTTTAGAAATTAAAAATGTTTTATTATTTTATTTATTTCTGCAATTCCTTTTCAGACCCAGATTCCAGCTCCGAAAGTTGTAGTAATGAAAGCAGTCAAGAGGATGAAAATGAGGAAGATGACGTTGGTTTAAAATCCCTGATTGATGACGAATCTGAAAAAAAAGTAAGTTTTTAATCTTAATTTGTTCTTAATATTAGTCTTTCTTAACGCTTTTTATTATTTGTTAAAATTGCACGTATAAATAACCAAAATTGTTTGATGACGTGCCTGATATCTAATTCTTTTTTTAATCCAGGAATCCGAGGGAAGCAATGAAAAGGCAAATAAAGAAATAAATGACGTGGCAGCCATAGCTGAAAGTTTACAACCTACCGGTAATACATTACTAACAACTAGCGTTGTAACTCCGATCCCATTTCTTTTGAAGCACGTACTTCGAGAATATCAACATATAGGGTTGGATTGGTTGGTTACAATGTTTGAAAGAAAATTAAATGGAATTCTGGCAGACGAAATGGGTCTTGGAAAAACCATTCAGACAATTGCTCTCTTAGCTCATTTGGCATGCGAAAAAGGTTAGTTTATTATTTTTTATTACTGTAACTTTATGTGATTATTACCAAATATGATTAAATTAAATGTTCTTATATTTTTTTAATACAATTAATTTATTTTTGAATTTCAGGAAATTGGGGACCTCATTTAATTATAGTTCCTACTTCAGTTATGTTAAATTGGGAAATGGAACTTAAAAAATGGTGTCCTGCTTTTAAAATATTGACCTATTACGGATCGCAGAAAGAAAGGAAACATAAAAGAGCAGGTTAGTCGGTAAAAAAAAAATTTTGAAATTTTTTTAGACATATATATATATATATACAGAAAACCTTTCTTAAGTTTAGATTATCAATAGTAACAATGTGATTGGTCTGAATCAAGAAAGGAAATTAAATGTGATGCGTATCAAATAAATTTTGTAAAATGAAATTTATTTTTTCAGTCACTACAATGAAATGTATATAATAATTGAATTCCAAGTGTAAGTTCAAAGTTGTCGAATTGAAAAATAATTTTTTTTTTTTTTTTTTTTTGTCAGGTTGGACAAAACCGAATGCTTTTCACGTGTGCATCACTTCATACAAGTTAGTTATTCAGGATCACCAAAGTTTTCGGCGAAAAAAATGGAAGTATTTGATATTGGATGAAGCTCAAAATATAAAAAATTTCAAATCACAAAGGTGGCAATTACTTTTGAATTTTCAAACCCAAAGAAGGCTTTTGTTGACGGGTACACCTCTTCAAAATAATTTAATGGAATTATGGTCTTTAATGCATTTTTTAATGCCCAATATGTTTCAATCTCATCGAGAATTTAAAGAATGGTTTTCAAATCCCGTTACGGGAATGATTGAAGGCAATTCGGAGTATAATGAAAACATAATAAAAAGGCTGCATAAAGTAATTTGATTTTTTTTTTTTTTTTCTTTATTGTCTTGTCGTATTTATATGTAAACAAAAAAAAAAAATTTTTTTTAGGTTTTAAGACCTTTTTTATTGCGAAGGTTAAAAACCGAAGTAGAGAAACAATTACCAAAGAAATATGAACATGTTGTAATGTGTAGACTTTCAAAACGTCAAAGATATTTATACGATGATTTTATGTCTAGAGCTAAGTAAGTATATTCAATGGTAAATTTTGAATTTAAAAAAAAAAAAAATTTTTTTTTTTTTATTGTGGTAAAAAACTCGAAATTTTTTATTTTTTATTTTTTTTGTAGAACAAAAGAAACGTTGGCTTCTGGAAATTTACTAAGCGTTATAAATGTTTTGATGCAATTAAGAAAAGTGTGTAATCATCCAAATCTTTTCGAAGTGAGACCCATCATTTCACCATTTCAAATGGATAAAATCGTATTCCACACGGCTTCTCTAGTTTTAAAAGCTTTAGAATACGATACTTTTAAGGTTATCATTTATTTTATTTTTTATATATTTTCATTTTTAAATACTATTAATAATAATAATAATGATAATATTATTAAATTTTTTTTTTTTTTTTTGCAGCACGTTGATCTCAGTTTTTTAAATTTATTATTTGTTAATTTGGAAAAAACGACAGCGTATGTATCATATAGGATAAAAAAAATTAAAACTACAAGGAAATTAATCGAGGAAATCGATACCGCACCCGATGATCCACCGAGGTGTCCGCCGGCAAAAATCAAAATAACAGTGCGAAACATTGAAAAAAAAGTTTACGTTAATCCCGTTTCGTCGGAAAACAAAAATCTTGGTTTATCTACTCTACCAACGGCTCGAGTTGGTACTTCACCCATCATTAAATCATTGCCAGTTTCTTCTGCTAATTCTCAAGGTAAACATTTTTTTAAAAAATTTATTTTAACGGAAAAAAAAAAAAAAAAAAAGAAAACCCTCTAGGTGAACACCGTGTGTGAAAATATTTATTTCACTCGTGGATTTTTTTTTTTTTAGAGGGGAAATTAATTATCCATCTTAAAACTCACTTATCTTTAATTGTAATAAGATTCGTGAATCCTGTCGTTGGAAACAGTTTCACATTTATTATTATTATTATTATTATTATTTTTTTTTTAATAAGAACTATTTATTAAGATTTTCTTTTTTTTTTTAAATTTCGTGTAGGTTTATCATTGAGATTGAGTGGATCTCACCTTCAGCTCGTAGGAAAAGGTAACGAAGGGAAAACCATCACAAATCAAAATGATTCAGGACAGAGAGGAGGACTTCCTGTTCAATTAGTTCAGACGTCTACAGGGCGCCAAATTTATTTTCCCCTGCAATCGCAAGCAGGGAGCAATACTGTGATAGCCGGAAACGGTCAGAGGTTGACATTGACAAAAACCAGTACGGCTGATGTCAAACTCGTCAATAGTAATTTAAATAGTAGTAATAGTAATAACTGTAGCGTTTCAAAACCGGTGAACTGGACCCCTACAGTAAATCAGGTAAAGACCCAAGGGTGATGAAAAGTAATTTCATTTTATATTTTTTAAACATGGATTTAGTTTTTGGGTATTTCAAACACGCTCTACGGTAATCACTCAGACCCATATTTATTTTATTGGTTTTGAATCTACGTACAAGGCATACATCGATCCATTAAACTTTATTTTCACCTCATTCGATGAATTGTATTTTTTTTTGAAAAAAAAAATTTTAAGGGTTTTCAATTTAAATTTTCTCTGGGAGGGGGTCTCCTATTTGATTTGGACAAATGATGGAAATTATTTTTATTACAGCATGAATTCTGGTATTTGTAGGCCACTCAAGGAAATGCTGTGAATGGCACTACAACGGTAACGACTACAACAGTGGTTACAACTACGAAGACCAGTTCAGCTATTTCAAAGCCTTTATCATCACCCATCGTACAATCCTTTTCACATATCTCTTCGGATTATTTATCTACTAGTCAACCTGAAGTAGTAATTAAAGGAAACGAAGTTGTTGAAGAGAGAAATAAATTCGATTGCGAAGAAGAAGAAGAAGACATGAGTATATTTCATTTGGTAATGATAAAAATAAAAATGTTTTGGCTTTTTTTTTTTTTTCTTTTTGTTATTGCGAACGCGAATCATTTTAAAAAATTATTTTTTATTCGTAGCCACATATCGAAGAAAAATTAAAGACGAGAAGAAGAGAAAAACTTGAATTAATTGGGCAAATAAACGATTATCGTTGCGAGGCTTATCCATTGTACGGATCCGATTTGATAACGTCCGTGAGGATAATGGATTTTTCAAAGGCGGCGACCGATAATTGGCTTTGTTCTGGTTTTATGCACTGCTTTAACGTTCACAAAACTCATAATTGTTATTGGAATCAAACGCAGTATTTAAAAGCTGCCGTCAAGTCTCCAGAAGACTTGATGGTCGATTTAAAAGATGTATTAAATAGGTAATTTTTCGTTATTTTCTAAAGAAAAAAAAATAAATATCCGTGGGAAAAAGAGTTTTAAATTTAGAAATACCTTCTTGATAATTTTTCAGGTTTGTTTTTTACGTTCCATCGGTTGCAGCTCCCCAAATTCAGTTGCACGTATCGCATCCTTCACCTGGTGTACACTGGCGAAGAAAAAGGGACGAATTAACTTTGAGATCGGAATTATCTTCGCGCTGTGATTTACTTCATCCGATCGCTAGTTCAATGTGTACACAATTTCCTGATCCAAGACTGATACAATATGACTGTGGTAAGTTTAAAATTTTTTTTTTCGAAATTTCAAATTTGAACGCATCTTAAATTAATGATTAATGCGTTTTACAATTAATCATCGTCGCAAAGATGCCAAATTAAATTGCAGTCACTATTTAAATTAAAATATTCATTTTTAATTTTTTTTTTAATAAAGCCTTGTTGTGTATTTGCAAACACGGTAATAATTTCCTTTATGAAGAATGTATAGTTGTATTGTAAACTTTATTTATTTATTTATCAACATAGGTAAATTGCAAGTATTAGATAAACTACTTAGAAAATTAAAAATGAATCATCATAAAGTTTTATTGTTCACTCAAATGACACGGATGCTGGACATCCTTGAAGCTTTCCTTAATTATCATGGCCATATTTATCTTAGATTAGATGGAACAACTAAAGTCGATCAGAGGCAGGTAAGGGAGAATAAAAAAAAATTTTTTTTTTTTTTTTTTTTTTTTTATGAAAAATTTTTTGCGTTTGAGATCAGTTTTGATTTTTTTTTAAACAAATAAAATCAATAACTTTGCAACAACGCTAAATTAATGAATTTTTTTTTTTTCTAAAACCAGCGTTTTTATGATTATTTTTATTTCATATAAAACTCCAGAAGTTTAGAATACAAAAAAAAAAAAATTTTTTTAGGTGGTAAATAAATTTAAAGGAAAATTTAATCGGCACGCGTCGCTTGTATTTTTTTTTTTTTTTTTTTTTGAATTACAGGTTCTCATGGAAAGATTTAATGGTGATAAACGGATATTTTGTTTCATTCTTTCGACACGTTCCGGTGGCATAGGTGTTAATTTGACTGGTGCCGATACTGTTATATTTTACGACAGCGACTGGAATCCCACAATGGATGCACAAGCCCAAGACAGATGTCACAGAATCGGTCAAACTCGAGACGTCCATATTTATCGGTTAGATTTCGATTTGTTTTAAAATTGTATCAAAAATTAATTTTTTTTCAAATTTATTTTCATTTTTTTTTTTTCTATTAGGTTAATCAGTGAGATGACAGTCGAAGAAAATATATTGAAAAAAGCCAATCAGAAAAGATTGCTTGGAGATTTGGCCATAGAGGGTGGAAATTTCACAACGGCCTACTTTAAAAGCGTAAATTTTTTTGTTATGAATTCCATTCTTTAATTGTTAATCCCATATTTATCCAATATTGACTTTTTTTTTTTTTTTTTTTTTTTTAGTCGACAATACAAGATTTGTTTAATGTAGACGTTAGTGAAACGGATGCCAAGAGGCGAATGGCCGATGTTTTTGCAGCAGATAAAGAAAAGAAAAGCACCGAAGATAATGAAACTCCTGTGAGTTTTGTTTGAATTTTTTGCGTGTCGCCTTTTGGTAATCGTTTCGTGTAAATTTTTAAATTCAATTTATATTTCATTTATTCTCAGGATCAATCAACGCCCCCTGAAGAAAAAGCCATACTGGGCGTGTTGGAATCGGCACTCGCTGCAGCAGAAGACGAAAGTGACGTGCAAGCAGCGCGTACGGCAAAAGCTGAAGCTGCTGCAGAATTGGCAGAATTCGATGAAAATATTCCCATCGATGATGATGCGGTTCATGTTGAAACGGAAATAAGCAAAGCGGAAATGGAAGTTAATCTTTTGGTAGAACAAGTATGATAATTTTTTTTACATTTTTTTTTTTTTTTTTTTTTCATTACTTTAATTTCAATGATTACCAAAAACAAGCATATGTCTGACATTTTGTGGTGAAATTTTTTTTTTAAATGAGAAAAATAATTTAGAGACTGCAATTTACGAAAAAACGTGCGTTCGTTTATAAAATATTTTTAAGCATGCGTGTTATTTTTCCTTAGCTTACTCCGATCGAAAGGTATGCCATGAGATTCGTGGAAGAAAATGAAGCCGCTTGGTCAGCGGAACAATTGGCAGCTGCAGAAGCTCAAATAGAACAACAGAAGCGAGAGTGGGAATTGGGAAGATTGCAAGCATTAAAAGCAGAAGAAGAGAGGAGGTTGCAGGAAGAAGAGCTCGATGAGGACTTGTTGACTTATTCGAGAGAGGATTCAACAAATCAGGTTAACGAATTTAAAAATAAAAAATCAAAAGCCCGAAGAAAAAAATCTCAGTGTTCTGAGAGCGAAGATGAATCCAACGAGACAGATACGAGTATTGACACTTTGACTGAGGAAGACGACGATGAGGACGATGATAATAATGATGATGATGATGATGATGATGAAGACAATTTAGATGAAAACGATAGTGATTTTGAGAGAAGTCACAAAACGTGTCGAAACTCGGTTAAAAATGATTCCTCGTGTAATTCCACAGAAAACGTTGTTAATAATTCCAGTAGGAAAACTAGGTCGAGGGGTTCCGTCGATATAAATCTTTGGACTTTGGACGAGAATCCCATACTGCCGGGTGTTAAACCGGTACGCAATTCGAATCATTCGAAAGAAACGAAATTGTTGAAAAGGCCCATGGTTAAATTGACAAAAATTAACGGGGAAGCAACCGAAATGAAATCGAAACAACGTCGCATTCTGAGTACTCCTCGGTCGTCTAGGATAGGTAAAGGGGGTAAAAATCGTTGGAAAATATCACAAAATGATTTAAATGACGTGGATGTTATTTCGTGTAACAACGAGTCGAATTTTCCCAAACCCAAAATAAGGATAAAAAAATACGATGGTAATAGTGAGAGAAACGGTCCAATTCCACCAACGCAAATACTATAGTAAATAAGTTTTTTTTTTTTTTTTCGAGATCTCATATTGAAATCTCTTAGTTTAATTTTAATATACGGTTTTATATATATATATGTGCACACAACAAACGTATGTATATGTATATAGATAGATAGATTGATAGATAGATAGATAGATAGGCATAAAAATTGAAATTCTTTTCTGGAGAGAGAGAGAGAGAGAGAGAAAAAAAAAGATTTTGTTTATATACAAACTGCCATTATCAGGTAATAATAAGCATCGCATCAAAATAATCTTGAAAAGGAAAATTTTATAATAATCGTTTTGTTTAATCCCGTGACAAATCTATTTCAATAAAAAAAAATTATTATTATTATTATTATTATCATTATTATTTTTCATATTGTATATATATATAATATTTCTTCAAGGTGTTTAAAATTTTTTTTTATAATGAAGAAAGTAAAATTGTCGTTTTATGAAAAAAAACTTGTTGTGCATTTTTACTTTTTGACTGAAATGATAAGATGATTTAAACGGAGGGGAGGGGGAGGGGGAAGGGGTGGGAAAAATTATCTTCTATTATCTTTTTCGCATAAGAAATAGAGCCGTCCAATCGTGTTATAATTATAATTATTACTTTTTTTCTTGTTCTTCTTGTTCTTCTTCTTCTCTCGTCTGAGATAGTTGTAATTAAATTTTCGTGTAAATTATTATTTTTTTTACTTGCTGCTGTTTCCCCTTTGCACACAACTTGCCAGCCATTTTGTAAATACAAAAAAAAAAAAAAAAAAATTTTTTTGTTGTTTTTTTTTTTTTTTTTTTTTTCTTTTTCTCTTGTCGTACATGTGATTGATTTTGTGTAGTTATCATTAATGTCGTCCGTTTCTACAAAAAAAAAAAAAAAAAAAAAATTGTAAAATAAGTTTTTTTCAGTAAATTTTTAAAGCATTTTTCGAATGAATACGACCAACAAAATTTTGTTTTTGGTTTTATCCGGTTTGTTATTAGATAATTTATATTATTATTAACCCTCATCATCATCATCATCATCGTCATCGTCATCATCTTTAACTTGTAACGTACTCGGAAATTTATTAATTATTAAAATGTTTTAACCGACTCGACAACATTGTCGCGTTCGTAAAAAAAAAATTGTGTAAAGAATATTCCAGAGAGAATTATTAACAACAAATTTTTATTGTGGTTTTTCTTTTCTTTTTTTATTCAAATTTGAAAATTTGATTAAGAGCCGATGATGTAAAAAGAAAAAATTTGTATTCGTTCAAAAACAAAAAAAAAATGTTTTTTTTTTTTTTTTTTTTCTTGGGTTTTTCAAATTGCGCTACGTTTTGCAATTTATATATATATATATATATTTAAAAAAAAAAAAAGAAAAAAAAAAAAACATTTTAAATTTTTAGAAAATGTTAATTGTAAAATATGTAATATTAATTAATTAATTAATTATTTAAGAAAATTTGAAAATTGAAAAAAAAAAAAAAAAAAAGAAATATAGGGGATTTGACTTCCTTGCTTTTTAATACATTTTTGTTGTAATTTTTTTTTTTTTTTTTTTTAATCTGTTTCCAAGGTTGAGCTCTGTTTTGGTGTCAAACTTTGCTCTCCGCCGTGCTTTTTTTCACATGACCATTTTGTATATATATATATATATTATGGAATTTGGTATGGCACAGGCTTGTCAATACCACTTAATATCAGTTAAATCTGTACGAATTTATTTTTAATAATGATGATAATGATAACGACTTTAATTTAATTTAAATGATGTAGAAAGTAACGGAATTTTTAAATGATTTTTTTTTTTTTTATATCACCTGTGCATATATAATTCTTAAATTTATTATTATTATTATTATTATTATTGAAGGTTAAGCCTCAAGTTTAGATTTAAATTTTTTTTTTTTAAAAATTTTTATTACGATTATTATTATTATTATTATTATTAATTTTTCTGTATATTTTTACGAGTAGTCAGTTTATGGCACCAAAACATAGCCTTGCCATTACCAAGCTTGGAGACAAATTAATTATTTAAAAATGTTGATATGATGAGCACGAAGGAAGCAAGGTTTTTCAGATCACCTGTATAAACAGAGATCGACCATCCTTTTTCTATAAATTATTATTTTATTTATTTATTTATTTTTTTTTAAATGAGGGAGATGAATATAACGAATTCATCATTCACTCAAACGATTTGTTTTTTTTTATATTTTATTTCACATTTTTATGGTGAAAATTAATTATTAATTTGATAAACGGTTCGCGTTTTGAAAAAATTTTTTTTATTTAAATTATTTTTTTTTAACGCGAAATGCGTTCGAATAAATATCGGTCGGGGGTGGTCGAAACTCTGAATTAATTTAGTTGATGATAAAATGAAAGTTTTTTATTCATTGGGAAAAAATTTTTTTTAAAGGTTTGGTTGGATCAGAGAACAATGGAACTAATGCCGGTGAGTTTTTGATTTAAAACTTTCTCTATTTTTATTATTATTATTATTATTATTTCATTTTTGACAAATTCAAATCCATGTGTTGTCATTTACACAAAAGCGTTAATATTTTTTTTTTTTTTTTTTTTTTTTATTATGTAAAGATGTGGTGTCCTCCGACTCCTCCTCAAGAAGAAAATGACGTTTACTTAGATCAAACCATGTGCTTCTTGTACGAATCGCAAACAATGTCGGACACTCAACTGCCTCCGGTTTATGTGAAAAAGGAATTGAAAAGAGTACGATCTACGGATGCTTCGCCCGGTATCGAAGGTAAACGCACACACGGCGGGATTATTATTTGCATTTATTTGCAAATTTATCTTGAACAAAAAAAAATAATAATAATAATAACAATAATAATTTAGGGAAACGTGCTATTAAAATGCATCGAAAGGACGATTCTCCCGGATCCGCTCCACGTTCTCTCTTCGATCATCCTAGTTCGGCTTTGCAGAAAATGCGAAGAGACATGAAAATGCAAAAATACCGTAATTTGGTTCGTCCTCCCGTTCAAATTCACGGTCAAAAACCATCATTGAATAGTAAACCGCTGGTTGAAAATGATAACTTGCCTGAATGGACTGTTCACGAGGATTGGGCTCTATTACAGTCCATTGAAAAACTCCAGGAATTGCCATTAAATCTTGTAATTCTTAAACCTGGTCACATTCCAAATTGGGATATGGTGGCCGATATGGTGAACATGATATCGAGCATATATAGATCTCCTGCACATTGTAGAAACAGGTACATTTTTCATCATCGTTGCTGTGATGTGTGCGTGTGTGTAAAAAAATTAAGCTTGAATGTTTTACATAAATTTGTATTTTTAAGGTATGAAACTGTAATCGTACCAAGGGAAGAAGGGAAATTGCAAGATTCTAAAAAACAAAAGAAAACTAAAAGCATATATAAAATGCCAGTCACCAAATCAAACAGGCCCGTTAGAACTTGTCAGTTGTACATGCAGGACAACAATGCGAGTTTTACCGAAGTTTATCATCAGAGATTTAACAATATTAGAGTTTTGTCATACAAACGCAGTCCCACGTTGAAACAAGTTTTGGTTAATCCCACGATGAAAAATCCTAAGCATACGGACGTTTTAACAGATTCTGGAATAACTTACGAAGCTCCCGTTAATCCAATCGAAATTGCTACCAGGAGAGCCGAGAGAATTGCAAAAGAAAAGCAAAAAACGATGCAAGCTTTGCAAACGACAAATGTAATTATATTCACTTTCTTCTTTAGGAATTGTTATTGAAATGGTTTAACTTTTTTTTTTTTTTGCTTTTTTAATTTACAGCAAAGCAATACTGTTCAGGGTCTGACTCCAGAACAGTTGGCTCAGCAGCCTTTATTGCAGCAACGCCAAATAAGTTCGGCAGTAAATGCTGCTAAATCCGTCGGTTTGACATCGTCCACCAACACAGGTATAAATGGTGTTTAAAACATTTTTCTTGTTTTTTCAACTTGCTCCATATATATTTTAGTTGATGTAATAAAATTGTTTTAATTACAGTTGCGGTTAATTCTCCGGTTATTCAAACTGTCACCGCGTCGACCGCACCATCAAGTCAAAGTATTGTAATTGCATCGCAACAAATTAGTTCGGTTGTTCCTACAGCAAGCATAACAACTTTATCTCCAGGTTTGAGGCAAACTAGACCGATAGCAACTATTCCTGTCGGTATTCAGGTACGTCTAATTAATCAAATGTCGAATATTAATTAATTTACAATTTTGTATAAGTAATTATTTTAAAACTACTTCAGGAAATGGTGGTAGCTACAAATCAACCACGATCATCAGCTAATTCAACTGCAACAGCTGTGGTGTCCGTTGCACAAATTCAAAGTCCACGAATTGCAACAGGAAATATTGTGACGGCTGCTTCTTTACCGGGCAATGTAAAAGGTAAATAGTGTAATGAATTGACATAATTAAAAAAAATGTTCATGTTTTGTAAATTAAGGTTACAATTATTAATTTTTGTCAATAAAAATCTTATAGGGACTGCTGTACCGGCTGTAACTGTTGCATCAGGTAAAGCTCTAAATCCTGCACAGATACAATACTATCGACAACAAGCCATTTTAAGGCAACAACAGCAAAGATTGACCATGAGAGACCAACAATTAAAGGTTATTCAGGGTCAGCAAACGTCAATCGGTCAAACCGGAGTCGCAATCGGACAGCAAAAAGTTGCTACTATTGCCACTGTGTCGGGCGTTTCTTCAGTTCAGCCGGTTTCACCTTCTCAGCAAAAAGCTCAGGTACTTTCTCTGACAGTTTTGCACTAATTATTTTTATTTTAAAAAAATTACGTTTGAAAAGGTTTTTATTCTCGTTTATATTTTTAGTTTTTAAAACAAGCTGCTGGTGCATTAACAAAGGGCAGGCAAGAAGAAATGGCTGCTTTGATGAAGCAGCAAATTCAAAGGCAACAAAAAACTGCCGTTACCGTGACTCAGCAACCTGCTTTAACAGCTCAAATATTGGCTCAAGCTGGTTTATCAGTTCAAACGGGATCTCCGGGTCAACCTCAAGTGGCAACTCTGGTAAAAACATCTTCCGGTGGCCAGAGCGTTACAATACCGATGACGGGCATTGCGATCCCTCAAGTCAAAGCCACCATAAATCCACAAATCAAAACGACGCCTGCCGCCACGCAACCCATTCGTCAATTGGGTTTAAATTATCAGCAATTGTTAACGAAGCAGGGAAGAGGTCAAGCCACTAAAGTTGCCCAAATAGCTAAACCAGGTCTTCAAACTCAATTAATTGTTCAATCACAGGGTGGTAAAGCAGTGCCGGCCATTTCAATGCAGCACATTCAACAAGTTATAAAAAATGTACAACCGCAGCACATAACCGTAAGTTATGAAAACGTATAAATAAATTTACAGTCAAATATTTATTATAAAAACGAAGAGAGCGTCGGACAAATAAATTTTTTTTTTTTTGTCAAGGTTTCGGCGGGACAACCGGTTTTGCAACAAGGGAGTCAAGTTGTGCTCGGGAAATCGCCTCAAGTAAATACAAGTGCAGTACAAACCCGCGTGATACCCGTCAGCGGATCTCAAGCATCTCGTCAAACGATTCAAGTCGTTCCCGGAACGGCCATTAGAGCCGTTCCAAACGTCACAATCGATGCGTCGGGGAGATCTCAAGTTAGCGTATCCTCTACGTTAGCGTCTGCTTTAACAGGTTCAATTAAAGTGGCGCAATCGACTTCCAATCAGCAGGCTTTCATTTCTCAGGTATTTTATTTAAAAATTACTTGCACTCACATACTCATATTTTATTAATAATTACACAAATTATTGTTTTTTATTTTTCTCAAGGTGGCTGCATCGTTACCGGGAATCGTCAGGCAAACAGGTGTCAGTCCCGTACGAATACAAACTTCATCTTCCGCATCGGGAACTCCTTTAATGGCAGTCACGGTTCAACAGCAACAAATTCGCACAAACACACAAACCCAACCGGATAATTCTCAAAATCAAACATGAAATCCTTACTCAACGAGACAAAAGTGCAAAATAATATATATATATATTTTCACATGTACAGTTTTTATATAGCGTTAGTTTTTTTTTTTTTTTTTTTTTTTTTTGTCTAAACAGGAAAGCAACGATTTTACCAAGTCTGTTTTTTTTTTTTTTTAATGCCAGAATGCCAGTAATTTAGCAAAAAAATAAAATAATAATAATGTAACTAGTAATATTATGTATTCAATCCGTGTATACTTGTACATCAAACTTTTTTTTTTTATTATTATTATTATTATTATTCAAAAACTAAATGAAAGTAGTATAATATAAAAAAAAAAAAATAATTAAAATGAATTATTATTATTATTATTATTATTATTAATACCATATATATATAATTAATTAGTCAATTAAAAACAATGTTACGAACAAAAATAATTAAAAATGAAAACGTAATTTTTTTTTTTTTTAATTTTTCTCTCTCTTTTGAAACTTAAACCTTCTTTTATATTTTTAATATTTTTCAAATAGGTTAAATAAAAAAAATAAAAAAAAAAAAAAAATGGTGGTAGTATGTGAGTGCAATGAAATTATCCTCCGAAGGAAATGGAAAAACCTCCTTTTCATCTTAAAAAATAATTATAATGATAATCACTTTTATGTATATATGTGCGAAAAACCTCCTATTGTATTAGGCGTGAAAGCGTTTGACGCATTAGTGTCATTATTTTTTTTTTTTTTTTTGTATACGTTAAGATTGTTTAAGCGCATTAATATGAAAATAATAATAATAATAATAATAATAATAATAATAATAATAATCGTTTTTAATCATAAAAATTAAATGGAACTACTATCTCGAATTTTTATTTTAAAAAAAAAACCTCTTCGTTCGTTTATTTTGTTTTTTTCTCTCTCTATTGATGCGATTATTATAATAAATTTTTTTTTTCAAATTGAAATCTTAAATATGCTTTTAACGTTTAAAAATAAATAATAATAATAATAAAATGATATGAATAATCATTTTAAAAAATTAACAAAAAAAAAAGACAAAAAAATTAGTTGTTTTTAATTTGCAAAAAAAAAAAAGAAAAAAAAATTCATTATTAATAATAATAATAAATGAAGGAGTTTTTATTTTATAAAAAAAAAACATTAAATTATATTTATGTCTCTTTAAATCTTTTAATGTTTACAATGATAAAATTTTTTTCTCTCTCTTTTGTTAATTCAGGCATTTTTTTTCTTTTCCCCCCTTTTGTTTCATGTGTGTTTTCTCAAATAATGTACAAATGAAAAAAAAAAAAAAAAATTGAGCACTGTTTGTCATTATTATTATCATTATTTGAGTTTTTTTGTCCAAACACTTTGTGTATTTTACTACTATAATGTGTACCTGTTAACTATTAACTTAAAAATTTTTTTTTTTTTTGTTAAACTTTCATAAATTTCACTAGGAGTGTTAAAAATTTTAAATCCAAAGTGTTTTTTTTAGGTGTTTTTCTGCATAATTTAAAATAAATGTATATATTTAAAATATATATTAAAGAAAAAAAAAACAAAACTTAATTTGTGAAATGGTTTTAATATCATTCTTAATCAGAAAGTTTTATTTTCTGTAAAATTTTGCCTTTTTTTATTATTGTTTATATGTAAATATATATTATTGAAAATAATTTTTTGTTTTTTAAACGTATTTCACACATTTTAATTATTATTAATTGTTAAATTCCTTTTTTTTTTTAAAAAAAAAAAATTCATTTATTATTATTGTTGTTGTTGTTTACTTTGTGACGTTTTTAACTGAAAAATTTTCGTGGAGGTAAATTGTTATTGGCACGATTTTATTGACACGACAAATTTTAAACTTAACGGTCTTTTAGAATTGATTCGACGTAATGGCTGCCGGTGTGAGAAAGTTACCGATTGGTGGTTTATCACCTGACGTTACGAATGCTTTAATTGTCGCCGTTTTAATTGCAAAACAAAATTATAAAACGTTTTTATCGAAAAAAGGTAAAGTAAAATATTTTATTAATGATTTATAATTTCAAAATAATAATAATAATACAATTGAAATTGAAGAATTTTTTGTGTAGTTGTTTTTAGTGAATGTGAGTAATGAAAAAAAAAAATTATTATTATTTATATATTTAATGCTAGCAAAATTAAAACAGATTATAAATTTTATATTAGTAGTTAGTGAATAATTACTAATTGTTTACAATTTAGTTACAATAATACAATTTTTACAACACAATATATCTTTTAATTTCAGATTCAGAAGAAAGAGGTGTGTGGAATTTCACTTTGAGGGATTCAAATATAGATACTATTAATGTAACAGTTTGGGGATCTTCATTTTACATTCAAAATATGTATCAAGTGTTTAGCACAGGAGATGTTGGTAAGTGTAAAACTTTATTATTATTTTTCATAATATATAACAACACTTATCCACCTTTTTTTTTTTAGTGGAAATAATAAATCCCAGAATTTCTTTCAAGCAACCGGATACTACAAACATTTCATTCAATCCAGAAGTTTCTAGGTAAGTGTTCAAACATTTTAAAAAATAAATTATTTACTAACTCACAAATTTCTTTTTCACAAAATACATCATCAGTCCTTTTCAACTTCATTTACAAGAACATTCATCAAATATGTTAATTTATGCAGAAGATGATGTTGAGTTTTATAAAGAATTAATACATGTACCAACAAAAGCTCCAGAAGATTTTTTGAGACTTTCGGACGTTATTAGTTATGGTCAAGCAATGAGAGGAGAATATGCTAATCTTCTTGTAGCCATAAAAAATGTAAATGTGTAATAAATTGAATTTATTTATTTATTTTTTTTGATTAAATAAGTGTAAATGCAAATTCGATGAATGATTCAGGTCGAAGAAATAAGAAATGTAAAATCTAAAAGAGATTCGAAGGATTTAACATGTCGACACATAATTGTTATGGATGAGACACATTTAGAATTTCACATGACTTTGTGGAACGAAGAAATAATATTCAAGTCAAATTTTTGGCAGCCTCGTAACACTAGTAAAACTTTGTTTTTTGCTTTTTGAAATCTTAAAATTTTATTTTTCTTAAAATATTTAATTTTATATTTTTTGTATCAGTAATTTTTTTTGCTGATGTTAAATTGGAATGGGATAACTTTAGAGGTACAATGACGGCAACAATGAATTCTCGTACCGTGGTTACGGAAAATCCAAAAACGGACGAAGCTCTTAATTTAAGAAATTATGCCAAAACAGCTCCCATATTACCAACAGCAATTCTTGATCATTTTACTAATAATTTGATTGACGGTACGCGTCGGTGCCTTTTAATTTATGCTTTTAACGATAATTGATCGAAGTTGAAAAAAATATTTTTGTTTTGTAGCTAAATCTATTACGGACGTGATGACAACAGCACAAGTGTTAGATAAAGCCTACAGCAGAAGTAATATGACACAATTTACCGCTTTATTATATGCCACAATCACGCAATTAGATTTAGACGGTTCTGAAGTTGTGATAACATATCAATGGTACTTTATTTATTGAAATTTTTAAATAAATCGATTCGATTACTTTTTTTTTAAAAAAAAACATTTTCGTAGCTCGAATTGTTCTCAACCGTTGGACGATACAAGAAGTTGTTTAAATTCGGATTGCGTGTCGACGGGGAAAAAAGATTTAAATAATCCAAAAATATCATTTAATCTTAAAATAAACTTAACGGATCATCGTGGTACTTTGTACAATTGTAGACTTGTATCACCGATAGCAGACGAAGTTTTAGGATGCAACGTAATAAATTTATCATACGTAATTATTTTATTTAAAAAAAAAAAAAAAACAATTTTGTTTTTGATTATTTTTTTTTTATATTTCGTCAGGTTCAACGTTACATGAAAATGACAATAGATGAAAAAACAAAATTAAAATGGAATCTTTTATTGACACGATGCGAAGTACGTATTTTAGTTTTAAGCACATCCCCGGAAAGGCCTCAACCTCTTATTTCTCTCGTGACGTGTAAACCCGCCAAAATTAAAGATGTCGCGACTAAACTTCCGTTTTACTAATTTTTACTTATTACTAATCAATTTATTATGTTTCCCTAATACTTATTCATTTTTTACTTTAATGTTTCCTACCCTAAAAATAAAAATGAAAATTCGTTAGAAATTTTAATTGGATTCAGAAAGAAACAGGAGGTAACAGGTAGTTTATTTTTTCTAAAAAAAATTTTTTTTTTTAAGTTTAAAATACTAAAACTTTTATTTAAAAAATATATTTATAAATATATATATATATCAAAATTAATTTTTACATGTTTTTTTTTTTACGTTTATCAGTTCATTCGATAATAATAATAGATAGAAAAAAAACAATGCATATTGATTTTGCTAATATTTCATTCCAAATTTCAATTTAATTTTTAGTTTTAAAACACTTGAACGAATTAGAGCGGATTTCGAATCAATTATTATACGCGATAAAAGGCGTTAGAGTTTTTGTAAAAAAAAAACATTTCGATCGAATTCAAATCGTGAATATTTCGGGCAACACCTCCTCACATTTATTATTTTTTTTGGACTCATCATTTGTACCGAGAAACAATGAAACTACATTAATTGTAACGGTCTCTCTGCAATTATAATACATTTGATTCTGTAATCCAGGTATAATCCTGGCCTATAAATGTAATTTTGATCCATTCGACAAACCACGCCCCCAATTGCCTGGTAGCAGAATTAGGCGGGGCATTCGGCTGAAATTTCTTCATCGACGAGATCCGTGTACGTGTGCGGGATTATTGTAACGGATTTTGTACAATTATTTGTTTTGTATATGCCGACAAGTTGATCGGCAATTTCAAACATGTTTTCCCTTAGCGACACGACAATAAACTGAGCATTTTTCGTTTGTTCTTTCAGGTAGAGTCCGACAATGGCTGTGTTTTTCCAATCCAAAGCGGCATCGATTTCGTCCATAAAATACAGAGGAGTCGGCTTGTAATAGTGAAGAGCAAATATCAACGATAGTGACGATAAAGTTTTCTCTCCGCCCGAAAGATATTGAATTTCTTTCCACGATTTTTTAGGCGGCCGAACCGTAAACCTGAAATTATAAGGTAAGATTTTTCAAATTTCGAAACTTTTTATTTTCAAACAACAAAATCATTTTTTTTTGTACCTTATCCCGTCGAGAAACGGATCCAGGGTATTAACCAATTCTAATTCTGCATCCCCTCCGTCCGCCAACATTTGATAACATTCTTTTACTTTTTGAGAAATGACGCTGAAACCTTTCATGAATTCCGTTAAACGAGTTTTTCGAAATTCTTCGAGTGCGTTTCGAGTTTTGTTTCTTTCGTTCGTCGCCTTTTCCAAATCTTTTTCACGGTCCAAATAAACATTTTGTAATTTTGTATATTCTTGAATGACTCCCAAATTGGGACTGTTTTTCGGAAGGCTCCCTTCTTTATTTTTAATATCGTTCATTAAATCCTCCATATCGGTTTCCTCCATTTCTTCGTCGGTGAGAATTTTCAATTCCATTTTTTCTTCGTTTAACGGCTCTTCGATAAGTTTCAACGATTGCATTCTTTTCCTGTCCGTTGATATTTTCAATAATCTTTGTTCGACTTCGTTTTTAGCTTTCTGTAAATCTTGTTTCAAATCTATTTCTTCTGCTTTCAATTTATTTTCTTCTTCGAGTAAAGCATCCATTTCTTGTTTCTTTTCTGAATTTTCTTCTTGAAGAGCCTAAAAAAAAATTTTAAAATTAATAATAATATTTGGAAACATAAGATTTTTTATTCGTCGTACCTGTAATTCTTCTTCGCAACTTTGAAACTCTTCCAATGTTTTTTGCGCTTTAATTTCGTTTTCTTTAAGTTCTGCGGCTGATTTTTTAATTTTTTCCGCGCTTTCTTCGATTTCCTGTTTCATTCTAACAATTCTATCCTGCATTTTTTTAAGGTTTCTTTCTCCCGTCGTTATGGCAACTTTTAAACTCGTTTTCTCTTTTCGAAGTTTTTCTAATTTTTGAGTGACGTCATCTAATTTTTTTTGTGCGGATTCGAGGCGGCCTTTAGTTTTCGCAATTATTTCGGAATGAAGTTTATTTACTTGACTCTCGATAACGTCTGCTTCTCCCTTGGCTTTTTCATAATCTTTTTCGTTAGCAATGACGGCCTGTAAAATTTCATTTGCAAATCATGGCGAATGATAAAAAACTCGAAATCTTTTTTATAAATTTTAACAGAACGAACCTTATCCAATTCTTTCAACTTCTTTTGATCCAATGTCGATTCTTTACATTTAATTACTTGATTTTTAATTTGTTCTTGTATCATGGGAACTTGACTTTTCAATGATTGAATTTCAATTTCTAATTTATTCTTTTTAGGTATTAATGTTTTTAATTCGTTTTCGGAATTAATCGTTTCCTCTTCGAGCAAATTAATTCTATTCCTGTATTCCGATAGTTTTTTGTTTACATCTTCTAAATTTCTTTCCATTCTTTCGAATTCTTTCGGATTAACGTCCGATTGTGATTCTGCTTTTCTTCCCATTCGACCTTAAAAAAAAAAATTTCACTCAGGTTAGATTTTTAGAATTAATTTAACATAAAGAAAGTAACAAAGGGTTCACCTCTAAATACTTGATTTCCTCCTCCGGTCATTGTACCAGCAATTTCAATAAGATCACCGGTTAGTGTAACAACCCTGTAACGAGTTTTCCCGTAGGCTATTCTCACGGCTTGATCTAAATTGTTAGCGACCAAAGTGTCTTGTAATGCGTAGTAAAACACTGGTTTGACTCTTTCATCGGCAACCCTTATCAAATCAAATAATCTAGGTACATTTTCGGGAGAGCGAAATGGCCTCGAGTAAATTTCTCTAAAACGTTCCTGTTTTTCCAATGCGACAAACGTAGCCGAACCAATGTTTTTTTCTTTTAAATATTGAATGCAAGCTGTCGCCGTGTCTACGGTGTCCACGACAATATTATCTAAAGGACCGCAAGCAGTGCTGACGGCTACGTCATATTTTTCATCGATTCCCCCTAAATCTCCCATTCTTCCAAATATTCCCGGAATTTTTCCTTCTAATTTTTGTTGCATGAGAGCATCTAATACTTTACCACGTCCTCGATTGGAATGAAGAGCGACTCTGACTTCTTCAACTTTTAATTGATGTTTCCTCCTTTCTTCGGATAAATGATTTTCCTCCTGTTTAATATTAATAAGTTCCGCTTGAGATTTTTTTATTTTTTGTTCCTTGTAAGGAATTTCCTTGCACAGTTTTTTCATTTCTTCTTCCCGAGCATTTAATTCTTGCGTAGTTTCTTCAAATCGTTTTTTAAATTCGGTCAATTTGGATTTTTCGTTTTCTTCCTGACTTTTATATAAATTAAGTTCTGTTTTAGACATGTCGTATTTTGATTTTGTTTTATCAACAACCTTTTTTAACTCGACTAACTCCGATTGAAGTGATTCTTTTTCTTCCTAAATAAATTAAAAATGATATTTTTAAACTTTTGTTTTTGAAGTAAAAATGAAAAAAAAATTTTTTTTTTAATACCTGGAGGGATTGAGTATCTTGAGCTAAACTTTTTATAATTTCTTCATGTTTTTCTTGAGCAATTTGCCTTTCTTCGACTAATTTAGGCTCTAATTCTTCCAACTCGAGTATAAGTTGCTCATTTTTAACAGAAGACTTTTCAAGTTTTACTTTCTTTTCTTCTTCGGCAGTCAAAGCTTTAGTAGTTTCTTTCCTTTTTTTATTAGCATTTTCCACAGCTTGTTGCAATGCAATATCGTTTAACTTATTCGAATCAAACATTGCTTTAATGTTTTCTTTCAATGTAGTTAATCGTTCAAGTTCTTTAATTTTATCACTGTTAGATGCTTCCATTTCCTTAATTTCTACAAATAAAATGTGAAATTAGTAAAAATTAATTTATTTTTCTTTATTAAATTTAATACCTTTAAACATTACTAATACCTTTTCTTTTTGTGTCTAAACATTGTTTAAGTTTTTTCAGCTTTTCTTCGATGCTTTTTAACATTTCGTTTTTCTTTTCATTATCTTTTTCTCCGAGAAATATTTTTTTTTGCAACAATTTATGATTTAAAAATGTGATACTATTTTCAAGTCGAACATATTTTAAAGCTGCTTCCATAGGAGTTTTCAATTCTTCAAGTTCGTTTTTAACCATTTTACATCTGTTCCATTTTTCATCTCTAATTTCTGATTGAATTTCAACTCTTTTTATAAGTTCAGCAATGGGTTCCTTAAATCTAGAACTACCAATAATATCCTCCAAATATTCCAACATTCCAACATCATGTTCATTTTCAGCTCTCGGTTTCATCAGTGAAATTTGTTCGACTTCACCTTGAAGTATTAAAAACCTATTGTGGTCAAGATCGATCCCATGCTTTCTTAGTAATTTACCAACCTAAGGTATATATATGATTATTTCAACAAAAATAAATTTTAACAATTATTTGTAATTAATTCTCTAGTTAAATACCTCTTTAAATTGAACTTTTTTTCCACTTATAGTGTAATAAGAAGAATTATCTATGCAAGCAGTTCTGGATATGTAAAATTCACTTCCAGGTTTTAATTCGAAAGCATCAACATCATCCGGGATATCAATCATTAATGCAAAATGAACAGTAACAGTGCAACTGGTAACTTTTGCATGATTTGGAGAATCATGTAGCAAAGCTGATATTTTTTTTGACCTAAGTTTACTAGCTCTATATCCAAACACAAACAACATTGAATCTATAACGTTGCTTTTACCACTACCATTTGGCCCAATTATTGCTGTGAAATATTTATGAAAAGGTCCCAACTCTTGAACATCTGCATAACTTTTAAAATTTTCATTTACAATATGTGTAATTATAAGTCTTGAACCGTCAGGATTTGCTTGGAATGCAGTAGCAGGAGGAGGAGGAATATAAATATCATCAAATTTTATTCCTCCTTCTTCGAAACTATCGTCTCTTTTATCATTATTATCATTTTCTAAATTAATATCCTGGTTAACATCACTTACTGAAGAATTAGAACTTACTGTATTTTTTATTTGTCTATCGGATTTTTTAATTGAATCCTTTTTAAATGGATCCGAATCATCAATATCATTATCAGGCATTTTTATTTTAATTATTATCACTGAAATTCTAACAATTATACATTATTTTTAATAAATTAACAACACGGAAAAGCAAAAAGCATGGTTAGTTATGAATTAGACAATATATTCAAACCGTTATAGAAACGCCATTATTTCATTATGAAAAAAAAAGGCGCGAAACTCACAAAGGCAAAGCATTCATAAAAGGCGGTAAAATATTATATTGTACGTTTCATTTTCGAATTATTTTGTGTACTTTCTGTTAAATTACATTTAAAATTTGAAAACTAAATTGAAGTTTACATCTAATTCAATTAATGTAAGTCAAATTTTTTTAATTCTTTTTAAATTGATTTAAATAATTTTATACTCCCTTCGCGTCGAATGAAAAATTATACCAAATGTATGCGAATTTAATGATGCAAAAAAAGTGATAATCAAAAAAAAAAAAAAAACGCAATTTAATTGTTTTAGGCTTTTAATTCATAAAAATTTTGTTACAACTTACTAATTCGGACAATAATAATTAATATACACATAGATATAAATAGTTTAAAGTTTAAAAAACAAAAAAAATTATGCAGATTTACAAATAATATATATATATATATATATATAACCAGAGAAAAAACATTGAAATTGACTTATGTTAATAATTTATATTTTAACAGACTTATTTAAAATCAAACAAAAACGCGATAATACATAATAAATTAATAAACAACTCAAGTATACACTTTTAAATGCAAAAAACAAATTGAAAAAATAAATGCAGTAAAATATAATTACTAAAACAATAAAATGCTCAACAACTTCATTAAGGGGGAAAGTAAAACAAACTTAATAACTGATAAATATAAATGAACAATAATAATAATAATATTAATAATAATAAATTTCACAGCAAGGGGACAAAAAAAATTATCGATTAAATTTGACTTATTATAATAAAAATATTACATAAATAAATTAATTAATTCGTTTAAATTATTATTTGAATAAAATCGATTATTAAAACACGTTAATACTGGGCTAATAAAAAAGATATTTAAAAAAATTTACTTGGACCGTTATCATTATTATTGAAATAAGGAACGTTAAATATAAATATAAATTTTGTTATTATTAATTAAATAAAGGCTACGATGGCGTCGGTAATATTTTGTCGATGCAATTGACCCATAAATTTGCACAAGATGGATGATAATTATGGCAACCCTGAGTGATGACGTCATTTCCGAGATATCCAAAACAAATTTTACAATTATTTTTTCCCTCGAATATCGTATCATCATCCGGTTTGAACTGTTTTTAAAAAAAAGTAAGTAAAATTAATTTTATTATTATTATTATTATTATTATTATTATTATTATTCTAGAAAACTAATCATTTACCTCAATCTTATATTCGAGACTTAATTCTTCTAATTTGGTCCATAATTTTTCCGTTTCATCGTATGCGGGTAAAGGCTCGTGATAATTTTGACTTATCCGTTTAAAAATGTTGAACGCAATTTTTAAATCTATATATATTTATTTAAATTAATTACGTGTGACGTTAAAAAAAAAACTAAATTTTCTCTACAATAATAATAATAATAATACGTTTTTCTTACCGTTTATGTAATTACTTGTTTTCGACTCGTTAAATATTTCTTGCAAAACGATTTTCTTGTTAACGCCGTCAAATATTTCGACTCCATTTTTTATCATGGCGTGACACGCTTCCAAACATTTTTTCCATATTATTTCCTGATCGACATCTTCGCTCGTAGGTAATTTCAAATCCAAACTGGGTATCGAACTATGCCTGCTTAAATTTTCGGGTGCTGAATTAATGGGAGCGGAAAAAAATTCCCACGAATCGTTATCCTTTAAATTATCTATTAAATGATTTGATTCACTAACAGTTTTTACATTTGAGGAATGTAAATGATTCGGATTCGAAACAGGCGGCAAGGATTCGATATTTAAATTATCGTTAAATAAATCGTGGTTTTCACGACCACGTTCTGGAGTATTAAAATCATTTTTTTTTTCGTCAAAACAAACGAAATTCAATAGTTCTGAATTTGATTCTGCTCCTCTTGTTTGAGATTGTTCGATACCGTTGGTAATAGTTTCCGTTAAGTTTAAGTTTTCAAAGTTAAAACTTTCAGTCGTGGCAGGAGGTAAATTAATTTCAACGTTTGAATTCCATTCTCCCCAATTATTATTATCTTTATCATCATTTTCTTCTAAAAATGAATCCTCTGGAATTTTTAAATCGTTGATATTATTTTTCACTGGATTTTCTATCGGATCTGGTATATCGGCAGATAGAAAATCTCCGAATTCGTCAAAAACTAAATCCGAATTTGAATTTGTGGTCGCAGGGTCGTTTTTAGTCACGTTTGTCTCTTGAACCATTTCTGCTTCTAAATCTCTAAATGCACTGTATTTGTCTTCTTGAACTGAAATTAAGTCGATTGCGCAAGGTTGCAAGGTTTTCGATTGAGTAGGTAGCACGGTTTCATTAAAAGTACCTAACAGAGGTATCTCAATTTTCCTCGTGTTTTCCGATACGGATGGTAATGATTCAGTATTACTACTAGAATTGATCTGATCAAAATCAAGCATATCGTTTTCATCACTTATTTTACTTTCTTTCAATACAAAAACTGATTTTTTGGGACAACATTTAGGTATGACACTTTCTAGATTTTTAGTTTTTACCCCGAAAATAATTTCTTCTTCGTTAGATGAAGCTGATGAACTCGGACTTGCCTTGTTTTTGTGATGTTTATGAATTTTTGGCCTATCTAGCTTTATACCTGTGAATAAATTTTAAGCCTTTATTAATTATGAATAATTAGGTTTTGCAATATATAATAAAGTAAATTTAAATATACAAATTGAGAAAAAAAGGGGTTAAAAAATTTTTAAAATTAAAAATCTTACTCAAAGAATGATTAGCTAATCTACTTCCGATTCCATGATTACTTCCAAGGACTGATAAACTAGTCGAAACCTGATTTGTTGATGAAATTTTACTTTCTGGTAATGATGATAAACTTTCACTAGAGCTTAATACCTTTAATTTTCTTTCACTTTCAGGTGAAATTTTTAAAATGTTAGATTTCAAATTGTTAAGTTTTCCTACGAGACTTTTGGGAAGAGGAATTTTTGGAATTTCTCTTTTTTGTGATATGACCACTGTTTCATAAGGATCCGATGGTATAGCTGTTTCAGAACTGGCACTTTGAAAATCAGTAAATTCATCATTTGAATCACCAAAATTGTCCTTTGGCAAATCAGTTGAATTGTTAATAGGCACTGATTGAAATTCTGAAAATTCATTTTCTAATTCTGAAGTAGGTGATGATCCAATGCAAGGAAAATTAGTGTTTGATTGTGTGTTATGATTATGAGTATTAAACTTATTAAAAACATCAGAACTGCCTAAAATTCCATTTGAGGTAACATCGCTTTTGCTCTGAGTATTTTCTACATGTTTTTCATTTCTGGGTAGTTTACAACTCGTACCTAAAGTATCTAATTTTTCAGTAATGTTGGTATTGGCATAGAGACTATTAGAAGTTGTTACTGATGAATTGAAGTTATTAGTGGTTAAAGGCTCTGAACCCAAATTAAAATTTGAAGAAGTTGGAATTTGGTGGGAATGGTATGACATTTTATTGACTCCAGAAAATTGATTTGTAAAAAAATTGACTTGTAAAGCAGGGATTGAGGGAGCAGACATGGATTTTAAAACACCTACATTATCATATTTAAATCCTTTCTGAGCCAAAAACACTAATGCAAGTACAATATAAAATTCTTGTTTAGTCAATTGCCCAGGTATGGTTTTATTAGCTAAATTCCATATAAAACCCAAAACTTCAACTTGTAAGCCACTGGTTAATAATAACTGTGAAACTTTTTGAGTATCTGCTAAATCAACATTCGACTGTACCAGCGACCAAAAATATTTATATTCAGGAGGAACCATAGAAGATTCACATTGTAGCCAAAGTGGAATTTCATTTTGAAATGGGTTAGACTTTTGTTCTTGCTTTAATCTTCTAGCAGATCCTTTTAATAAGTTTTCAATCATGAGATCTGCTGAAATTGACGTAACCTAAAAAAAATTCAAGGTAAATTTTCTTAAAGCAAATATCACATTATTATTATTTTAGGTTAAAATGAATAATAGTAAAAATTATTTTTAATCTGAACATTAACTATTTTGTTTCGATGAAATTATTAAAAAATCAATTAATAATTAACTTATATTTTAAATGAACATATTTTAAAAATATGTTAAAATTTTAATTATTATTTACCTTATCAGTAGAATTAGCCATAGCTTTTAATCTTTCTTGTTGTCTTAAATAATCCTTTTGACGATCATAATTTAAATTTATTTGCTTACTATTCGCTTGCATATTAAGCATAAAAAAAAAAAAAAAAAAAAAACCGTAATTAAATTTCTCCTAAGAAAAAAAAAAAAAAAAAAAAAAAGTCAATAAAAACTGACTGCAGACTTTAAATTTTGATAAACAAAATGGTTTTCGGGGCCCTCTTTTCTATAATACCAAATATAAACTACTGTCAAGGTTGAGTTTTATACTTTTGCCAAAAATATTTTTACAATATGGATGAAAGGTATAAAAATAAATATTATACTTGATTAATTATTTCTGTACCAATAATAATATAAATATTTCTTTCTTTAAATTGATTTTTTTTTTCATTTATTTCAGAATCGAAGAAGAAGTTGAAGCTCTAAAAGCTATACTAATGGATGAAGTCATTGTAAAACATGAGGAGTAAGTATTTATTTTGACATAAATAATATTTAATTTTATCATAAATGCAACGTTTTGTATTTGATGTAATTCTCACTCAGAAAATCAAATGACAACTATGATGGTTTAAAATTATATCTCATTTACTGTTTACTTTTAAAAATTCACAGTAATTAACATTTAATTTTGTAGAAATGGAACTGTTACAATTGAGACTGACGTTTTTCCCGCTACAGCATCCGATCATTCCAGTCAATATGTTAGAGTGACTTTAATTGTTACACTTCCTGTCGGTTATCCCAACATTTCACCGACAGTAGATTTAAAAAATTCAAGGGGATTGGATGATTCAGTATTAGATGTCATTAAAGAAGAACTTGATTTAAAAATTAAAAATCTCGTCGGAGATGTTGTCGTTTTTGAACTTATCGAAGTGGGATATATATATATATATATTAAATGTTTGAATTTTTTTTTTATTGAAATTATTAATTAATTAATTAATTTTATCATTGCAGGTTGTCAGAGAACATTTAACGGAAAGCAATTTGCCATCTTGTCACTGTGTTATATGCTTATATGGATTCTCCGAAGAAGATCAATTTGTTAAAACTCAATGCTATCATTATTTTCATTCCTACTGTTTGGCTTGCCACATTAAATCTAGCGAAAGAATTTTTAAGGAGGAACAAGAGAAATTACCTGCTTGGCAAAGAACAACTCAATTTCAAGTGAGTTGTATCACATAATTGTAAAACTTGTTCTAGGAAATTATTTTTAATTAAAATTTTTTTTTTTTAGCAAAGATGTGCAGTTTGCAGAGAAGTCATTTCTGTAGATATTGATAATTTATCCAAAGCAGCACCACCGACGGAGAGGGAAAATGCTAGAAATTTTGAACTAGATGAAAATCTATTGGCACTGCAAAAAAAAATGGCGGCACTTTTTAAACATCAACAAAGCAGAGGGGGAATCATTGATGTCGAAGCGGAAGAAACAAAATTATTACTCGTAACTAGCCCCGTATGTAATCGCTTTATGAGTTTGTTATCATTAAATAATTATCGGATAATAAAACCTGTATCATAATTTTTATCATTAGAGTTTGTAAGTTTTAAAAACTGTGTAAACAATTATCTCATGGGGCAAAATGATTCAATTTTTTTTTTTTTTTGATTCTTAAATTATTAAAATTGTAGATAATTTTAAATGTGTTTCGCGCATTTAATTTCATTTATTTTTTTTTTTTTTAAGGTTTCGGAAAGCAGTGAAACAACCCCCGGTCCCAGCGTCACACAAAATTCAGACTCCGTGATTGGTGGTCACAATAACGCTCGTAGAGAGTTTTACCGAGGGGGAAGAGGTGGTGGTGGATTCAGAGGTGGATTCGCAGCATCCCGAAAAAGTCGAGGCCATTTTTACTCAGCCTCCAGATGACAATGGCTCATATTTAAAAACGATCGAATTAAAACATTTTAGTGTTAGTCAGTCACGTATATTAGTTAAAGTTACGTGTTTGTCTTGATGTTATTTTTTTTTTTTTTTAAGATTTGAAACCTTTTTTTTTTTTTTTTTTTTTGTATTCACGAATTTATAATCCTTTTTTTAAGGTTTTATTATTATTATTATTTTTTGTATAAAATAATAACGAATTTAAAACTCGAAACGAGTTGTAAAACATTGACAAATTTTTTACAATTTTGTACGAGAGAAAAAAAAAAAAATAAGCTTTACCATGGCTATTGGATGCGTTGAAATTTCATTACAGAACCTATTATTATTATTATTATTATTATTATTATTGTAACAGAAGGTTAAGAGTTTAAAATTAGAATCACCGTGAAAAAAAAAAAAACGAGCTTAATTAAAAATAAAAATTTTCTCATATTTAATTATTTAAGCTTGGATTTTATTATAATGATAACAAAAAACGTTGTGATAACATTACATTACATTATTCGATTTTAAATCGATAACTTTTGCAGGAAATTAATTATTATTATTATTATTTTCATACAGTTTAATTGTACGACTTGATAATTAAACCTTTTTTTTTCCTTTTTTCTATATAAATACGTTAACAATACTATTAAAAAAAAATACGAAAAGAATCATCAGCGCACCTTTGCCAATATTTACCTAAACTAGTCGATCTCACAATAAAAATAAATTAATTTTTGTAATAGTCAATAGTCGTCATTGTATTGTTAATTTATGTATTTTTTTTTTTTTCTTATTGTTTTATTTATTTAAACTTTATTATTATTTTTTTTTGTCATCAATTAATTAAATTTATACGTAAAAAAAAAATTAAAAATAAAAAATAAAAAACTTTATTATTGGCTTTAAAAAATAAATTTTTTTTTACATTAATAATCGATACTGATCATTGATTTATATTATTAAATTTATTTATTTAAATAATAATGATGATGTTTTAATAAATTTTTGATGTAATGAAGTATAAATTAAAAAATTTTCTTATTAAGTGAAAAAAAAAAAAAAAGTTTTCTTTTGCTAACTCGTTTCGAAAGAGTTTCTCTTTTCAAATATGGAAAATTAATATTTATTTGAAAAGGAAATTTTATTCGTGTTACATAATAATAATTTTCTTATTTATATTCCTAATAGAAACCAGAAAAACCAAATTTTCAAAATTTTATTATTATTATTTATATCTTGTAATATTTTTTTAAATCGTGAAAAATTTTTTTTTTTTTTTTACGAAAAACTAAAAGAAAATTTTTTTAATTTTGCAAAAACAAGAAATTATTTCCAATTAATTAGTATTATTATTATTACGTAATTTTTTTTTAAAAGTCAAATTTCACTTGTATCATCCTCATATGGGAAGATGATTTTTTTTAAACACATATTTTATTAATTATATTTTAATCAATTTTTTTTTTTTAATATGTAAAAAATCCATTTTTATTTTTAGTTTTACAATCATCCATTTAAAATATGAAAAAAACCTACACATTTACATAAAACAAATAAGAATAAGAAAAAATAAAAAAATTATGTAACGTTATGTATATTCGAATATTATTTTGTCCCCCCCCCCCCAAAAAAAAAAAAAAAAGAAAATTTTCCAATAAGATTTTCAGTTTTGAAAAAGTGTTAATATAATATTTAAAAATTTTACTACCACTTGTAATAATAATAAATAATTTTTTTCGTTATGTTCCAGGACGATTTTCCAGGACGACTTTCCAGGACGAAGAGGATAATATAAAAATAAAATAAAATAATTTATTAAAAATCATTTTTAATAACAATTTCCGTTACGTAACATTAAATTATTTATAGAAAAAATTTTTTTCACTTTTCATTGTTTACATTGATTATCAATTGATTATTTGAGAAAAACAATTAAATTATTATTATTATTTAGTCTATAAATAAATTACGAGATTATTTTAACGGTAAAAAAGATATATTATCATTAATATCGATTAAAATCAAAATAAAAATCACAAATTTTAAAAAGAACAAAACAAAAAACTCATCATCATCATATTAATACGAATACGAATGAAAAATACGTTAAATACGAATAAATAAAATAAACAAAACGCGATATATCGATATGTATCGATATATCGATTCAACCCTTCGATTATCGACGGTTATTATTTTGATTTTTATTTACACGATGAATTGTTCGTAATTATTCCGTTAAACGGGGAAAAAAAAATTTATTTATTTATTTATTAACGTATTTTTTTCATGCGAAAAGAGAGAGAGAGGGGGAAAAGGGGAGAGAAAAGGAGAGAGAGAGAGAGAGAGAAACAATTTGAAATTTATAATTATTTGATGAACCGAAAAAAAAAAAAAATGTTGTGGGATTTTAACCGTCGTGTACGTAGTAGTAATAGAATCCGTTTCGTCTTCGCTTGCCTCATTTCACGTTTCTTTAGCTTTATATTACATGTAAACGATAAAAAGCTTTTTATTTCGCGTCAAGGGATGTTGAACAAAAGTTTTTAAATTAAAAAAAAAAAAATTTTTTTTTTTTAATTCATTTTTCTTTCTTTCTTTTTTTTTTCTTTTTTTTTTCTATCTCTCTCTCTCTCTCTCTCTCTCTCTCTCTCTCTCTCTCTTTCTCGCATAATCATAATACT